TGCCAAGGCCATAAATTTCTGAATGTAGCCGAAGATATTCATTATTAGTCACTTGTATATAAAAGTGGAAAAAAGACTGGTGTTTTTAAGACGGTCTAGCCCACGCTGACCTTGAATTCATGATCCTCCTGCCTGTCTCGTGAGTGCTGGGATTACAGGTGCATGACACCATGCCTTGTTCTAAAAATGGAATTTCTGATAATCACCTATAAGAACATGTTTCTGATGTACTTCCTGTGGTGCTTCAAATAGGAAAACATCTTATCTGTTAGGAAGATCTGGTAGAGAGAGGTGAACAAACACAATACATGTTATCTCTGGACTCAACATGTCAGTATTAAAGAGAAAGCTAAGATGCTGATTTTTTTTGCAAGTATTGTCAGCAACTTGATTTTTAAGTCATGACATTCAATATGTACTACAATACAGGCCAAACATGCCAGATCTGAAATTGGAAACACTCTAAAATCTGACAGTTATTGCCACCATGAGATCACAAGTAGAAAATTCTACATCTGACTTCATATGGCAAGTTGCAGTAAAAACACAAGCACACTACAACTATTGAATGAAATTACCCTCAGGATGGGGTGTAGAAAGAGCATATGAAACTCACATGAATTTTATATTTAAGTGTGAGTCCCCAAGATACCTCATTCTGTGTATGCAAATTTTCAAAAATTGGAAAACATCTGAAATCTGAAACATTTCTTGTTTCAAGCGTTTTGGATAAGAGATATTCAACCTGTGTGGGGGAGAATATCAAAGTCATACTTAAAAATCATTTTAGATACTTAAAAATATTGTCAAAGTCATACTTAAAAATCATTTTAGATACTTAAAAATATTGTCACAAAGCACTGAAAATGGAAAGAATTCCCTAAACTTCATGCAACACCCTTGGAAAGTTGAATGATCTTTGTTTTGAATCAGATCTGCTATTATTTTGGCTGGCAATAAATTATAGACTACACATCATGCCTTCCTCACTCCCACATTAACTTAAAGTATATTATTCCCATTTTTGTTGACTCCCCAATTTTATTGGTTTATCTGCTAGTTTTCTGATAGCCACTAGAAACACAAGTATATACACATACCAAGTTGGGAGGTAAGACACATAGAGGCTAGATGGATGTGTAACTGAATAAAACACCTGGGTTCAAATGCTCTCTGCACCTGAAATCAGCTGTGTGGCCTTGGACAGGTGGCTTACTCTCTGTGTGCCTCCCTTTCCTCATCTGTAAAGAAGGAAAAGAGTAGTGTCTACTTCCTAGGGTTACTGTAAGGACTAAATTAGGTAATCCACGTAAAGTACTGAAAAGAGTGTGCCATATACATGTTGGCTAATAGAATTCAAAAAACAGTAGCTCTTGCTATGTATTTTTTAGCTTGTCAATTGAATTTGTCCAACTTCCGTGTGTATATATTGTATCTATGTGTCTAATAAATCTATGAGTTGTGTTTTGCTTTGGCTAAAACTAAAGTGGCATTGCCGTCCCTGAATGCATATGAGACAGTGGGAAGAGGGGCCCTCAAGTGTGGTGTGATGCAGGTGATGCTCCAGGATTAAAACACATCTCCTAAAGGGGTTATCTACGTGCAGATGACTGAGTTGGCGTTACACACTTTACAAAGTGATATTCTTTAGGCCCTTAAATAAACATTATTCATCCAAACATAAGGAAGTGCTGAGTGAAGAAGTTACTAGAGACTATGGCCAAATGGCCTTGATTCACTGGCCTCCTCCTCCCTTCCCACTGGAGGCCTAGGGAACCTACTCTGCAGATGTCTATGAGTGCAGGAGGTAAAATGGTGCATCTAGCATACTTCCAGAAATTCAACATCTTGCATACATCCAAGATAACAGAGTTGCTGTCTACTATGATTTCTGCACTTTTGGAAATGCCTGTCTTCCAACCAGGCCAAATTTAATGGGGCTCTATCTGTATTTAAGGTCAGCCATAGGTGAGGGATGGGAGAAGGGAGTTTTCTTGGATACATCTCATGAATTAATGAATTCAACAGAGGCGGAGTTCAGAAGCCAGGCTCCCTCCTTTTGCTAAAGCAGGGCTGATTATAAACTGGTATAACTGATGGAGAAAAAAAGAAATGCAGCTCAGAGCTAGAAGAATTAGGGACAGGGCCTAGTCCATTCAGCCTCCCTAATGGAGTTCTTGGGAAATACACATGTAGATTAGCCCCTAACAATGACCCCCGACTGATTGCTTGGAGTACCCTGCACCATGCCCATAATGGTACTGACTGGCTCTTTATGTCCCACACAAAGGCAGCCCCAGCTCACCCAGTCATCCTGCTCTGCCCTGCAGGCCCTCACCAGGGCTATGGAAGTCTTTTCTGCTTTTCTCCCCAGACTGTAATAAACAGTAAATAAAAGCTCACCTCACCTGGACCTATTAGGGAGAGCTGGGCAGTCCACAGGGAATTAACTTTGGAAAACAAGGCCATAAACCCCCTCGAAGAGTGTGGGCAGGAACTTAAGAAAACTCTGTCAATCTTCGTTTAGCAGTGATTACAGAGGACAATTTAGTATTCGGGAAGCTTACATTAAAGGCATTTTCAGGGGGCCGGAGATGTGGCCGAAGTGGGAGAGCACCTGCCGAATAAGCACAAGGCCCTGAGTTCAAACCCTAGTTCTGCCAAAATAAATAAATAAAAGCTTTCTCAGTCAGAGGGGAAACAATGAATGCCAATTAATTATCCCCAAAGCTGTCTTCTGGTTACCTCAGCATCACAGATGCTTGGTCTATGTAAGTGGCACTGAAGACTTTCTGGGGTACCACCACACAGTTTGTGGGGCAATGTTGTGGACTGGCACCTTGGACAGCCTAGAAAGGCAACTGGTCTGCAGGGAACCCAAGTCTTGTAAGTCTCTGGAAGGCCACTCCCCATCTACTCTGACTTCATTTCTTCCCAGGGTCAAACGGCCTCCACCTCAGCCTCTGAAAGACAGATTTGGGGATCCCTCTGGGAAAGATTAAAGACTGACCATAGGCTAAGATTTCTTTGGTTTTTTTCACAAACTTCACACTCTACAATAATAATTATGGGTGAGCCACAGCCAGGAATCATGGACAAGAGCCAGCAGACCTGAGTTCTGGACCTGCCCCTTCATAGCCAGCTGTCTTAGGTTGAGCCTCTGTTTCCTTTTCTGGCTCCTACCCATGGCTCTGTCCTGCTCACCTCAAAGAGCGATGAAGTGAAGAATGTAAAGGGCTCTGACAGCTATCGAGTGCTATTTATTTCTATCCATTTTGCTTTTTCCTTACAATTAAAACTTTCTGCCCCAAGTCAGTAGCTGAATTTCAGCCCACTGCGAACTCACATGCTTGCAATTTTAACTTTTTACAATTTTATTTAAAACAGTGTAATAAGTCCTTCTTTCGTCCCACTTCCAACAAGGAGTGTTTTCCTCTTGTTTATTTCTTTGTCTTGTCTCAAATACTGGTCGTTAAAATCCTCAAGGTCAGGGGACTGGGCTTTCTTTCTTGTGTGACTGGTGCGGGACCTGCAGAAGGGACTCGGTAAATGCCTGTCTTGGATGCACAGAAAGGTAGGGAGAAAAAGAGTCCTCTGCTCCAGCGATCAGAGAGCCCAGGGAAAGAATTTCCGGATGTGGTCCTCTACGTCCTGCAGGCGTCCAGGAAAGCATTTTTATTTATTTTCCCAGCTACCACTTCACGGGAGGTGGGTGCCCGCCTCGGGTCTTAGTCTCGGATTTGAGGGGTGCACTGTTCACAGTACCTTTGTCCATCAGCACCGCGGGATGTGAAAACACCCTCGCCCTCTCAAATCATCTTTCCCTTTAGCCTTTGAGTCGCTCTGGGTCATGGAAGCCTCAGGGGGGCCCCAAAGGGGGAAGGCGAGCAAGCGGATTAGGAGGGCAACCCTTGGGGAAGCACGGGCCTTCTCCCTGGCGAAGGTCCGTCCCTGTCAGTCTTGGATCATCTCCTTGGCTGGGAAAAGTGGGGAGGGGGGGAGAGAATAACACACTAGTGCACATCAGTAAAGGACCCTGTCCTTTCCCACAGGACACAGAGAGGGAGGAACTTCTTGAGGGTGTCCTGCGGCACCTGAGCCCCTCAGCGTGTCAGACTCGGGGTCACTGGACCAGCGGGCACAGATGGTCCCACCCCACCGACTCCTGGTGGTCGCGCTGGTACGAGGGAGGCCGGTAGCATGAAAGTCCGAGGGGACTGGGAGTAGAGAAAACAGACACGGACAAAAGAAATCAGTTGTGTGGGATCGTGGACCACAAAGCCGGGAGATTGCCCGTGGGGTAGAAAAGAGAGGAAGAGGGGGAATTCGAACTGGGAGGAGCGTGTCCAGCCCTCGAGCTGGACAGCCTTCGACTGGGGACTGGCTCTTCCAGGGGGCATCTGGCTGCGGGGCCAGGGTGCGCGACCCTGCGGAAGAGGTGAGCCCTAAGACCTCTGCCCCACTGAGACAGAACTGGGCTGGGGGATCAGCCCAGGAAGTCGTAGCCTGTCGAATATCCCACTGCCAGTTCCCAGTGTGTTTGTGGTGGTGAAACAGATCAAGAGGTGTGTGTAGGAGGTTGGGGGGCGGGGGGGGAACGGGATGTTCCGAGTGCTGGCCTCAGGGTGGCAGGACTGGAACTCTACTAGGAGGGGCGGGGGAAGGACCTGCCCCTCTGCAGGGGGAGGGGCCGAGAAAAAGGGCTGGATCCCCTGCGAGTAGCGGGCTCTTTGCCTCCTGCGCCCAAAGGCCCAGCTACTCCGAGGCCGAACTTCCAACTCGTGCAGGGACCAAGGCTGCCACCGGCCGAGCGCTTGCCCACCTCCGGAGGGCCAGCCTGGGCGGGTTGTCCGCGGAGCTTGACCTTGGGTTAGACCTGTCCGGCTGCCGGGTGGTCCGCTTTGGAGAAGTCTCACTCCCTGACGTGTACACTTGGGAAGAGCCTGCTTCGAGCCACTTCTTTCAGCTCCAAAGCACCCGCCAGCCTGCCGGAGCTCCCTATGCACCTGCCGGGCTGCGCGCCAGCCATGGCCGACGGGAGCTTCTCGCTCGCTGGCCACCTGCTCCGCAGCCCGGGCGGCAGCTCCTCGCGGTTGCACAGCATCGAGGCCATCCTGGGGTTTACCAAGGACGAGGGGATCCTTGGCACCTTCCCGGCGGAGCGGAGCGCCCGGGGTGCGAAGGATCGGGATAGGAGGCTGGGCGTGCGGCCCGCCTGCCACAAAGGACCTGGAGGAGGCACCGAGCCGTCCCCTTCGCCAGCCCCGGTGCCCGTCTCGGAGTACGAAGGTGAGTGAGCGCTCCGGCTGAGACGAGGCTCTTGGTCCTTAACTTTTACATAGGCAACGGGGCACGGGTTTGGCGACTGTGTCTATGGCGGGAGTTTCCAACTTGCCTGCAGAAAAAGCTTAGGGACCCATTGCAGACTCCACCCTCGACCTCCCCAGGCCAGTTCTTAGCTTCTACTGGACTGGCCTGGGACTGCGGGACAGGGAGGCAGAATAGCTCCTGGGATGCTTCGGGGAGTGTCTCTGACCCGCTGGGCCTCGTTGGCCCAGTCTCTCGTCCCTGCTGCACCAAGGAGCCCGGGGAGGCGAGGCCCAGCCCAGGGCTGCCAGTTGGACCAGCAGCTGGCGACTCAAAGCTGTCTGAGGACGAGCAGCCCAAGAAGAAGCACCGGAGGAATCGCACGACTTTCACCACGTACCAGCTGCACGAGCTGGAGCGCGCGTTTGAGAAGTCCCACTACCCTGATGTGTACAGCCGCGAAGAGCTGGCGGGCAAGGTCAACTTACCCGAGGTCCGGGTCCAGGTAAGGCGCCCAGACTGAGGGATTGAAGGACCGGGACCTGGAAGGATCACTTTTCCTCTAGAGTTTGCAAGCATCCACGCATTTTTTACTAGCACGCCTAGAATCTCCAAAGGAGAGTCATAGGTCTTCGATGTTCCTCCACGCATCACTCTTCAGGCAATGTGGTCCAGTTTATAATATCATGTCCCCTTTGGGGGTGGGGGTCTCCCTCTTTTAAAACTAAAAAGAGTAATTGAGGATGGCTTGCGAGATGAAGAGTTTGACAACTCATTAGAAACACCAGTTATACGTTGAGGTTGGGAGTTGTTGAGCAGAGAGGGAATGTAAGCACCAACCAGAGTCCCCAGATTGGGTCCTCCAATGCCACCCTCTTCAGTAACTGTGCATCGTGTTGAAAACAAAAATGCTGTCTCCTTTCGAGGGGCCTGGGCCCTAGGAGTTGAAACTTTTGGGAGGATTTGTTTAAGAAATTGACTTCCTTCTCTGGTGCACATCCAACCAAACTTCCCGCTGTAGAGGTCTTTTTATTGTAAAAGGGGTTTTCGCTTTAATTAAAGCTGAATTATCTTTAATCCTCGATCATTAAAATATTTGAAAGCCTTAAATATTTGAAAGCCTTAAATATTTGCTAGTCATCTGTGAAAAATCTGGGAGGGTTTCCAAATTGGGAGAGTTTACAGAGGCCTGAAAGGGAGTCACTGGGAACAAATTTCAATGCTTTTGAATGGTGGTGGAACTAAGATGGGATTTTTGTGTGTCTCTAATAAATTAAATTTCCAGGAAGTGAGAAAACTCGGGTGTTTGGGTGCTTTTTAGCTGTGTCTTCAAAGAAACAGGGGACAAACTGTTTCCTTTTGTGCTTTTGCTAAGGTTGGGGGTTGAAAGTAATGAGTACAAGTTGTGGTTTAAAAAAATAATTCCATATTGTGGTTCAGAATAATGAGTAAGGACAGTTCAGTTTCTCCTCAGTTCAAGCAGTAAAGCTACGATAATTTCATTGAAGGGTGCAAATTTTAGCACTGGCTTTCCAGGGAGGGAGGGCTAGTTAGGGAAACAGAAAGAATAGAAGAGAAAAATGAAGACCAAGGAGAGGCAAAGCCTTCCAGTGTCTTACAGAATGTAGGCACAGCGGCCTCAGGGCTCCCCTGGCACCTGAGCCATGTCCCTGTAAGTCCTTCTTTAATTGTTTGGGGGTTTGGCTTCTGCTTTAAGTTATGCAATTCTTGAGAACAGTGTCTGTGACTTTTCTGTAACCACAGGGTGAGTACAGTACCCAGTATGTGACTGTTCTAAACAAGAGTGTGATGTAATCAGACGGTGTGGGGAGGCCCAGCAGGGTCTCCTACAGTGTTGCAGGCATCAGGAGAGCAGTATAGTCACAGTAGCCATATGACCAGGGGAAACCCAGCAAGCAGTGGGATAGTAGCTCTCACGTGTGCCAAAGTTTTGGTTTTTCTACTGTCAACAAACTTCTAATATTTCCCTAGCAGCTCTCAGCCTTGAATGTGCCTGTGTACCTTTTATGGGAAGGGAGCAGGGATACCCACATTTTTGTTCTTTCTCTTCTCAAATGCGAGCGTCACATGTTCTGTAGGTTCTGGGTTGCTGTTTTCTCAGCGCTCTGAGAAGGTGATCCCCACCCTCTTATTGGTACAAAACTCATTTCTCATTTCCCTTCATAAATATAATACTGAGGTCCCCAGTTGACCAAGGCTCTTTCAAATGCTTCCTGTTCTCTCTGTTATGACTGCTAGTGGAACTTGGTGGTGACACACTGCTTATATCCTTTCTGATGCTTTAATGAAATCAGTAGTGGAGGATTCAGTGGAAGAAACAGGGAGGTCTTGGCAAGGACTTTCTTTTGTGAAGATGAGGAAAACCACTTGGGTACTCATTGAAACAACAGCTGAGGATAAGGTCAAAGCTAACTCCATAAAGTAAATGTTGATACAATAAACCTGAACAATTGTAATCTTTGAAAATAATTAATGAGAAACAGAAATACTAAATAAAAAAGAATGTTATTGAAGCAGCAATTGAAAATATACATGATAAAAACAAACCCACTTGCTTCTATGCAGCAATCATAACCAGTAATCTGGAAACACTTGCATTTTAACATCTGATGTTGTCAGCACTTATTTATATCTGTGTTTACAATGGAGGGAAAGCATAGAAGGGCTGAAACAAAACGCAGCAACGGAGGGTTGGACAAATAGTGAGGTAACAAGATCTAAAGGGAAGTGTCAGGACCTGCCAGACTGCAGGTCACAGAAATGTGTTGAGGTCTGGTTTCAAGGTGCTGTGGTCTACTTGCAGAGTTAAATTCACTTTTTTTTTCTGAGCACCTATTCTGTTAGGAATTGGAAACACACACACCCACAGCCATGGGTGGGATTCACAGGTAAGGATGGGATAAAGGGAGGGAGGAGACAAAAGGGGGGTGGTGAGAAAAAGGGATTGATAAGAAAAGAGAGAAACTGGATAGAAGTGCACAAGGAATGTCTGAGTCCTTCTCGCAGGCGAAAGAGTTGGGTCCCAGTTTTTTGGGATTGGGGCAGTCGAGCTGGCCATGCTGTACTGTCGCATGGACGGGGACGTAGCCCCAGTCTCTGCCACAGTCCGATGCCCGTTTTGCTTCCTCTGGCAGGTGTGGTTCCAGAACCGTCGGGCCAAGTGGCGGAGGCAGGAGAAGCTGGAAGTGTCGTCCATGAAGCTGCAGGACTCGCCCCTTCTCTCCTTCAGTCGCTCCCCGCCATCGGCGGCCCTTGCGCCCCTCGGGGCTGGCCCGGGCGGCGGCAGTGGCCCTCCGGGGGGCGCCCTGCCCCTGGAGTCGTGGCTCGGGCCGCCGCTGTCCGGCGGGGGCGCCACGGCGCTACAGAGCCTGCCGGGCTTCGGGCCACCGGCACAGAGCCTGCCCGCCAGCTACACGCCGCCACCACCGCCCTTCCTCAACTCCCCGCCTCTGGGCGCCGGCCTGCAGCCGCTCGGGCCGCAGCCGCCCGCCTATCCGTGCGCCCCCGGCTTCGGGGACAAGTTCCCGTTGGACGAGGCGGACCCGCGCAACAGCAGCATCGCGGCGCTGCGCCTGAAAGCCAAGGAGCACATCCAGGCCATCGGGAAGCCGTGGCAGGCCCTCTAGGGGGCTTGGGGAGCTTGCTGGGAGCCGGCGGCCCCAGGGCGCGCCCGAACCCTCTCCTCATGGCCCCTCTTGTGCTCATTCTTCCCCTGTCCAGCGGGCCAGGACGCCCCTGCATCCGGGAGAGCCAGCCATGAGGCCAGGGGAGGCCTTCTGGCCACCTCCATGACCCCCAGTCCTGCTGCCAGAGAGAAGGAGCTGCTGGACCCCTCTGCCAACGGTGCTCCCATTCCCTGCCAGCACCAGAGCCTCCAGGCCCAAGGGACCAAGAGTTCCGACCTTTGCTGTTCTGTGCAGAAAGGGAGGAAAGGGGAGTCAGAAAAATAGTTTGAGAAACTGTATAAGTAGTTTCAAAGTACTTGGGAAAAGAATTAAAGATTTACTTGTTTGCATTTGATTCTGGTTAAGTGCGCTCAGGACTGCGGAGTGAGGAGTGAATGTGGGCGTGCAGAGTGGGAAGGAGGTGCGGTGACGGACCCGGTAGGTCAGAGCAGGCAAAGACCACACAAAAAAGAGCTCAGGGCAAATTCTGAGGACGCGGTGGTGCCCTCCCTGATGCGTGTGAGCTTGAGATTGGGGGTGCATGGGGTCCAACGTTCAGCTTCCGGTGCGTTCCAAGTTCCTCCATGCTCTAGCCAAGCAGGTGGCAGTTGCTACTTTTCATAAGAAACGTCTACACCTCATTCCCAAAGTGAGACCTACAGCTCCGGACGTCCCTGCTCTTCTCTTTCCAGTCCAAAAGGCCCCTTCATGGGCCTTCATGGTGCTGATCCTGGAGCCTCTCTCTCTTGTTTCTCCAACTCGGTTCCACATCCTCCAAACCAGAGTTCTGTAAATCAGATGTGGACCAGCTGCAGCACTAGGAGAGTGTCCTGTGAGCCGTGGCCCTGGAGGGCTCTTCCTTAAGGGCATATCCTCTCACTGGTTCTGATGCAGGGAAGGAATCCTGCCTAGTCCTCAAGCTTCAGATGCTCCTATGGTCTCAACGAGCCCGGGGCATATGTGCAGTTGACCCTGGAAGCTGGACCACTCCCCACATTAGCTGGATTCCTGCCCCAGAGGTCCTTTCGCCCACGCATGGGTGTGCACACGGGAGGATATGGCTAGAGTCTTAGCATCCTCCAGCCAGTGTCTGCTATAGGTCCTTAACATGTTAGTGAAGTCTTTTCTCCTTCCCCCTCCCCTTTCCTGGTCTAAGTGTACCCTACTTTGCTGAGGTGCGGGAAAAGCGCATAAGATCACCGGTGCAAGCTTTATGTAATCTACCTAGGACCTGGCCTAAGACAAAGCACTTGGTAATCCCCGTTCCTCTGTTTCGGCCATATTCCTGGGTTGCTGTCCAGTTCCTGAAACCACTTGGAAAATGGATAACTATCCCAGGTCTATGGGTAGGGAGAATGTCATGGTAGCATCCATCTTTGCCCTGCAGGTCCTGAGAGGCTGTGACCTAGCACAGGCTAGGTATCTCTAGATCTCCGTTTGGTGCCTTGCACACAATAGGCACCAGGTCATTAAGAACTTCAGTTATTTTCTCCCCAAGAGGTAGGGAGCGATGATACCTGCCTCATCAAAGATGTCTCTGTGGGGGAAATGGATGGACTAGCCCAAGTGATCAAAGCTCTTAGCAAGGAAAAAAGAAACTGCAATACAATGAATATGTGTGTAAATACCTTTCGGTATGGCCTATCTTGTGTTTCATTCTTTTAAGTCCTCCCTTTAACAGGAATGGTTTATTTTGAGAACTCCCAACTTCACTAGCCCCAGGTGAGTACACTTGCTCAAACCTCCTGCTACCAACAGTCCTGGGCAGCGTGACCTTATCCATCTCACCACCAGCATCTTTCTCCTCATTTATATAGTGGTGCCAATTGTATCTTCCTGATAGGATTTTGCAAGACTTCTAACAAGCGCCCTGTGCATAGTGGGGGGAGGGAATAGAACCGACTATACAAGTGCTCTACCACTGAGCCAATCTCTAGCTCAGTTATTAGCATTTTAATGAACACTTTCCAAGAACTTGTCTCTGAAATCTGAGTATGTCTGACTGTTAATCCTAGAGAGAGAGTTTAGGAACCATCCATTCTCACATGAAATTAAATAGCAGAAGAGGAAGGAGAAGTTGTAGAAAAACTGCATATGGGAAGACAAATAGAAAACCCAGAAGGCCCTGGGTTCCCCCTTACTTCAATTCCTAAAAAGAGTGCTTTAGGGCATGATGGGGACTGAGATCCCTAGGGGTGGGTGCTAGCTGGGTGAGTGCTTTCTTGACCTCCTAGGGGTATTTAGATGCCAGGCAGCCCTAGGAGTAGGTGCACAAGTGGGGCGGGAATCCAGTACTTAACTGAGACTAGAAGTGAGAGCACTTTGTGATAAAAGGCATTAAAGCTTCCGGGGGACCCTGAAACACTGGGTTTGCTTTGGGGGGGGGGTTCATGGCTATAGAATACCTTCTCAGGTCGCAGAGGCAGGCCAAGGTGTGGTAGGGACTTCCAAAACTAGACTGGTAGCTCTGATTGGTACCAACAGGAGTCTTTCATTGACCAGAAGGGGTAAGCCTGCATTACTTTCCCAAGACTCGCGCCCACTAAGCTGTTGAACTTGCCATAATGAGGCCTCGAGTCTGGTTCTTTCTCTTGCATCAAAGGGAAGCAAGAACCAGTTGGCAATGGTCTTACACGGGGTTCAGAGAGGAAAGGCACCGTGTTCATCCAAGCCGACCTTGATTCGGGCTGGCTAGAAGAGGAAGGCCTTGGAGACACGCCCCGCCCCAGTCCAGAAGACAAGGTCTGCCAGGCTCTCAGTCAGAGGGAGGTAGCTCAGTCTGCAGAACCTTTCTGTTTTGGCTCTAGGGAGACAGGGTGGGCGGGGCCCTGGGCGGGGCTCCCTGAGCACGGGGGCGGGCGGGGAAGGACGCGTCGGATTGGGCGGCTCCGAGCGGAAGGCGGAGCCAAGTGGGGCGCTGAAAGCAACCTGAACCTGCTGGAAGCTCCACGGTTGCAGAGATCCAGTCCTCGCACCATCAGCCACACCGCCGCGATGAGGCCGGTCCAACTGCTTAGATTTTCCATTTCCGAGGAGTGCTCCTGAGCGCGGGGACAGTGTGTCCCCAATGCGCGCCACGACCCTTGGCTTCTCTTAAGGATGCTCACCGCCCAGTTTCTCTCCCTGCGGACTCCGTGTGCTCCGCGTCTTCTGGTCGCGGGTCTTCGGAGCCACAGGGTCGGCAGAGCAGTCATGGAACTCGCTAGATGTTCTAGGGTTCTGCGCTACTGTTTGTTGATCCCTTGTGAGTTTCTGGCTCTGGGAACCCGGGTCTGCCCAGCAGTCCACATCTGGGAGGGTGGTCCGGGCTGGAGTGGAGTCTAGGAGGGACCCCTTGGGAGGGGCGAGCTTTGGCCAGGGTCACCAACTGACCTGGGATCACTCTTCTGTATTTATTTCAAACACTTAATGTTTGGGGATATGGGAAGTATCAAAGTTGGAGAAAGAATTCCTGCCGCTCCCCTACCCGCACCCCAGTTAATCTAGAATCCGGCAAGAGAGGTCTTTCGACCAAATTAACAGGTTAATTGCCTATTCGGAGACAGCTGAAGTCCAAGAGCAGGAGGCCAGGCGGCTGGGGACTCCAGGTCAGCTGCCCGAGAGCCGGGGTCTGTCCCTCCCGCGGTGTACGGTAAGGATCCCTGGGGTGCGGACCTGCGAGCCCTGGCTATTTGAGCGTTGATGTGATGCCTTCCCCAGCCACCCTCCGCCCCATCGCCGCCGCCCCAGCCCAGGTCCCTAACACTTCCAGCCTCGCGCCCAGTCTTGGCTGTGTTCCAAGCGCGCCTTTTTTTTTTTTCATTTTTCTTTTATTATTCATATGTGCATACAAGGCTTGGTTCATTTCTCCCCCCGCCCCCACCCCCTCCCTTACCACCCACTCCACCCCCTCCCTCTCCCCCCTCAATACCCAGCAGAAACTATTTTGCCCTTATTTCTAATTTTGTTGTAAAGAGAGTATAAGCAATAATAGGAAGGAACAAGGGTTTTTGCTGGTTGAGATAAGGATAGCTTCGCAGGGCATTGACTCACATTGATTTCCTGTGTGTGGGTGTTACCTTCTAGGTTAATTCTTTTTGATCTCACCTTTTCTCTAGTTCCTGGTCCCCTTTTCCTATTGGCCTCAGTTGCTTTAAGGTATCTGCTTTAGTTTCTCTGCGCTAAGGGCAACAAATGCTAGCTAGTTTTTTAGTTGTCTTACCTATCCTCACCCCTTCCTTGTGTGCTCTCGCTTTTATCATGTGCTCATAGTCCAATCCCCTTGTTGTGTTTGCCCTTGATCTAATGTCCACATATGAGGGAGAACATACGATTTTTGGTTTTTTGAGCCAGGCTAACCTCACTCAGAATGATGTTCTCCAATTCCATCCATTTACCAGCGAATGATAACATTTCGTTTTTCTTCATGGCTGCATAAAATTCCATTGTGTATAGATACCAAAATTTCTTAATCCATTCGTCAGTGCTGGGGCATCTTGGCTGTTTCCATAACTTGGCTATTGTGAATACTGCCGCAATAAACATGGATGTGCAGGTGCCTCTGGAGTAACAGTCTTTTGGGTATATCCCCAAGAGTGGTATTGCTGGATCAAATGGTAGATCGATGTCCAGCTTTTTAAGTAGCCTCCAAATTTTTTTCCAGAGTGGTTGTACTAGTCTACATTCCCACCAACAGTGTAAGAGGGTTCCTTTTCCCCGCATCCTCGCCAACACCTGTTGTTGGTGGTGTTGCTGATGATGGCTATTCTAACAGGGGTGAGGTGGAATCTTAGCGTGGTTTTAATTTGCATTTCCTTTATTGCTAGAGATGGTGAGCATTTTTTCATGTGTTTTCTGGCCATTTGAATTTCTTCTTTTGAGAAAGTTCTGTTTAGTTCACTTGCCCATTTCTTTATTGGTTCATTAGTTTTGGGAGAATTTAGTTTTTTAAGTTCCCTGTATATTCTGGTTATCAGTCCTTTGTCTGATGTATAGTTGGCAAATATTTTCTCCCACTCTGTGGGTGTTCTCTTCAGTTTAGAGACCATTTCTTTTGATGAACAGAAGCTTTTTAGTTTTATGAGGTCCCATTTATCTATGCTATGTCTTAGTTGCTGTGCTGCTGGGGTTTCATTGAGAAAGTTCTTACCTATACCTACTAACTCCAGAGTATTTCCTACTCTTTCTTGTATCAACTTAAGAGTTTGGGGTCTGATATTAAGATCCTTGATCCATTTTGAGTTAATCTTGGTATAGGGTGATATACATGGATCTAGTTTCAGTTTTTTGCAGACTGCTAACCAGTTTTCCCAGCAGTTTTTGTTGAAGAGGCTGCTATTTCTCCATCGTATATTTTTAGCTCCTTTGTCAAAGATAAGTTGCTTATAGTTGTGTGGCTTCATATCCAGGTCCTTTATTCTGTTCCACTGGTCTTCATGTCTGTTTTTGTGCCAGTACCATGCCAAGCGCGCATTTTCGCCAACAGATAGCTACTACACCAATGGAATCCTCGCCTCCAGGAGGTGGGATGGGAAAGACTTGCAGGGGAGAAAATATAAATTAAAAGCCTGCGGTTCTCTTTGCTCGGGTAGCGTCCCCTTAATTGAGGACTGAATCTAATGATCTGGGTTCAGCTTATTAACTGTACAACAGTGAGCAGAGCTAATGACTCATTAGTGACTAATTCTTAACCTCACCTTAACTGCTTACTGTAAAACCCCTTTGCAAAAGTGGATTCAATCATGTAGAACCTTGGGTATGCCCTCCACAGCCCTGCAGAGACAGCTGGCTCCCCACATCCCCCACCTTGAGCAGATCGGCTGCTTCATAAGTGGCAGGTACAATGGTGGTCCCTCAAGCCTGGGAGTCAGGACCTGTGGTTGGGTCATGGCTGTGACATTGCCTTGTCCTGTGACCTTAAATGGGGCACTTCAATCTCACTATAGGCTAGATGTCTAAAATCTCCCTTCCGCCATCACCCCACCATATACACCGAAAATGTAACACCTCATTTTAGAAGTAGCTTTCCTCTGTCTTATACTTAATATAAAGTAGGTGTATTATGTTAGTGATTCTGAATGAATTGTATGCAAGGATGCCTTCCCGTCCAAAGTTGTTGGAGAAAGGCTTTTACCAGTTTTAACAGTAGTGGGGTTCTATAGTCTCTGCAGATTTTGTTAAAAATTGGTCCCTGGTTGTTTTTTTTTTTTTCCACCTGTTATTTTTATCCCACATGGAGACCTTTGCAAGGCATGGTGGGTGCCTAACGGTAAGAGTCTCAACATTGAAGGAGCATGGCTTACATAGATGAACTAATTACTCAACTGTCCAGATTTCCAAGTGCCTCCTGGTTGTATCCACCTGAGCACCCCACAGATCACCCCAAATAACAATAGGCTCAGAACAAAACATTCTTATGGCCTCCTAAAAGTTCCTTGAAACTGGCCTTCTTTCTGCATTTGTATCCACGCAGTGACTATGAGAATCATTCTTGGCCTTGGAGTCACGTTGTATCTCGATGTCCTTTCCACCTGATTTCTTTACCGTTCATCTTCTGCTCAGAGTGGACAGATGTCTCCCAGCCTCCCTTTTCCATAAGATGTGATCCAGAGAATATGCATTTCGGAAATAGTTCTTAGAATTGAGAATGTGTCTTCCTCTTGTTTCTCACCTGCCACCTGTTGGCTATGAGGGAGGTGTGATGCTGGTGTGGGACAGCCGTGTTGACCCATGTCATGAAGCCATGTATCCAGCAACATGATGGAAGGGACCCAGGTCCCTAGCACTGTGGTGCGCCATGCTAGCTCTGAGTTACCACCTGGACTCTACAATGTCTAATTTCTTTGGTCTCTATCAACCAAACCTAAACCCAATTCCTTCCTTCCTTCCCTTCAACACCTATGTGCAGTGAACCATTTAGCTTAAATTGCATAGCAGAAAACATTGTACTTCAGAATGTCTCTTAAATTCACCTACTCCTGTTTTCCCTCCCTCTCCTAGCTCCTTAGTTCATTCAGGGTTTTGTCACCTGTCATCTACAATGCATGACCTTTCCCCTGGCCGGCAGTGCTTCTGTTATGTCACTTACTACATACCATCCTGTTCTACAAAGTAGTCATTTCTTCACTCATTCACTTACAAACATTCACTGAGGCTTTCTGTCGTTTAAGTTTTGGTTTTGTTTTGCTGTGCTCTGGAACTGTACCTATACAGCCTTCATGTTGGTCTCCTAGATGGCTCAGAAATTCCTTTCCTTAAAAACAATTCCTTATGATCTGTGGGACAAAAGCCAAGCTCCTGAGTATGGCACGTGAGGTCTGAATGGGGTTCCACCAGGTCTTCCCAGCTTGTCTCTAATACCTCCTTCCCTCTTCACTCTGTTGATGAACACCAGAGCACTCTGCATTTCACTGAGCACCATCCATTTTTTCACTTTGGGAGTGTGAACCTCAGAACTCATTTATTAATGAGTTGATGGGGGGAGTGGAAGGATACAAGATCAAGATGCAAAATTCAATTGTATTTCCACATATTTGAGATGAACAATCCAAAAATGAAGTTAAGGAAGTAATTCAATCCACAATAGCACCAAAAAGAATAAAATATTTAGTAATAAATTTAACAAAAACTATAAAATATATACTCTGAAAACTATAGAACATTGTTGAAAGAAAGGAAAGATCTAAATAAATAGAAAAGTATTTCATACGAATGGGTCAGAAGACAGTGTAGTTAGGAGGGTGATAAGTCCCTATGCTGGTCCACAGATTTAACAGGATCCCTATCAGAGCCTCAGCTGATTTCCTTCTACAAATTATCAAGCTGATTCCAAAATTCATATGGAATTTCAAGAAACACAGAATAACCAGAAACAATCCAGAAAAAGGATAAATAAGACTCACACTGATTGGTACAGAAACTTACTACAAGATTGTGAGGTGCTGGGATAAGGATGGAAATGTAGGTCAAATGAATAGGAGTCCAGGAATAAGCCCATACACCTACAGTCAACTGATTTTTGACAAAGGTGCCAAGACCATTCAAAGGGGAAGGAAGTCTTTTCAACAAGTGTTGCTGGGACAACTGGATATTTACCTGCAAAGAACAAAGCTGGATCCCTACCTCACACCATGTGTCAGTCAGCTTTCCATACTATAATGAAGACTTGAGACCAACCTTGCATGAAGAGAAAAAGGGTTGTCTTAGCTCACAGTTTTGGAGGTTTCAGTCCATGATCTGTGGGCCCCCTTGTTTGGAGTCAATCTAATAGGAAGGGCAGGGAAACACAGGGCAGAGTGAAACTGCTGCCTCATGGTCAGAAATTGAAAGAGCAAGGAGGGCATTGGGTCCCCTTG